AATTATTTTTCAATCTCTATATATATATATAATTATAATTATATATAATTGATATATAATTGATATAATCAAACATGACAATTAGATGCAATGGGAAAGCCCCTGTAAAAAAAGGAATTCTTTAAACGCGAAAAGTCATCGACACGTTTTTGGCCGCAGGGTATGAGGCCGCCATTGAGCACAGCTCAAGATCCAGATGAGAACCGATGGATTTCTGTCAATGAACTTGAACATGAATACCCTCTGGTAAACTAACAGTTTGCTATGGAAAATGGCCCAGTCGAAATAGTGGATTTACCAATGAAACTATGGAAAGATCCACCATTTTTCATGGTAAAACTATGAACATACGAATGTCAATGCCGGATGAATAAACCATGGTTTGTTAATTAGGGGGGTACTCTTCCAATGGTCATAATCTAATACTTAAGTGGTACCCTCCCAATTGAACAACCTAGGGGGTTATTAATCCAGGGTTAACATTAATCACCAAGGAACGAAGATGTGAATATGTTTTCAGAATATGTATAAACAGCAAAGCATGGTGAATAGAATCAAAACAACATTACTGGTTGGTGGTTTGGAACATTTTTTATTTTCCATAATATATGGGATAATCGTTCCCATTGACTTTCATATTTTTCAAGATGATTAAAACCACCAACCAGATTGATTAGGATAGACTTAGGAATCTGGCATTGTTGTTTGGTCATTTTCCCACTGCTATTCATTCCAGTTCCAAGGGAACTGGGGTGATGAACAGATCATGAGGATTGCAACGATTGCTTGAACATGGGTCAATACGATTAGCAAACACTGTTCAGAACAATTGACAATGACAGAAGTAGACAGTACATACATCAATACAAATTTATAGTCCAATATAAATAATATGATACATTTATAATTTATTAACTTATCACCAATCAAAACTGATATCTGGCAAACCAGCTCGTTTTTGGGTAGTTTCACTTTTGAATCCCATAGATGGGGCAGAAAAAAACCCAGTGGTTGGTGGCTGGGGAATCTGCCCCACGACCAGGTTGGCGCTTTGCCTTGTGCCAACTCCAGGTGTGCTGCCAGGTGGGGGTGATGGTTGACACCAACTGGTTGGGATGAATCATAGTGGTTTACCCTCTGGTAAACGTTAACAAAAGAACGATGAACAGATCCACCATTTTTCATGGGAAAACGATGGAAAATCACAATTTTTCATGGGAAAACTATGGAAAATCACCATTTTTTTTGGGGACAACTATGGAAAATCACAATTTTTCACGGGAAAACTATGGAAAATCACAATTTTATAGCTGGGTAAATCAACTATTTCGACTGGGCCATTTTCAATAGCTATGCAACAAATTACCAGAGGGTACTTTGGGAACAGCCCGCTTAGTAACTTTTTTTGTAGCCCTCTTTTTTTTACAGATCTACTAACTTTATACCATTTACAATGGGGTAAGAAGCCTATTTACTAAACAGCTACTGAGCGGGGTGAACCACTAAATAGATCTAAATAGTAAATTGAATATTCAACAGGACCAAATTCCCTCAAATCTCAGTACCACATTGCTGGACCATATGTTCAAATGATCTCACATTGTTTGTTTTCCTCCAAATTGGCGTGTTTTCCATCTCTATCTCTTAAAAAAACAATTGTTCCCAATTAGTTGGGACCAATTAGTTGGACAATTTTGATATCCTTTGAATATCCTTTTAATTAGATCTGACCAATGAGTTGGAGTCCCTTTTGGAGTCCCCTTATGGTGAAACCTCGACAGGGCCGTCCGAATGTGGTGACCTTCGCCTCCTGCATCAGTAGCTGTGAGACACCTGCGACCATCGAGACGGGCTGGTACTGAATCGCTAAGTTGGTTTATTTACCCTCTGGTAAACATACAAAAAACTATGGAAATATCCACCACGTTTAATGGGAAAACTCACTATTTCGACTGGGCCATTTTCAATAGCAAACTATTAGTTTACCAGAGGGTAACTAGAGGTTATAGCAGATATATCTACACTATATATACACTTCATGAATCTTAATGAGGGATATACCGATTTGACTGTTCAATCCAATCTGAGCGGTGTTCACAACCCCTGTTGGTTGATGATTGGTACGGGTACACTATCCAATATGTTGGGGATTAATTATTATTGATCATCATAATCATCATCATCATCGTCGTCGTCATCATCATCATCATCCTCCTCATCATCATCGTCATCATGATCATCACGATCCATTTTGGGAATCCCGTTCTTAACCAGCCAGTGTGTCATGAAATGACAGATTGTTTTGAACAGTTTGCGGACCTAGGGAGCCCAGTTAGGCTAAAGTCAACGCACCAGCCTGGGACGAACCCAACGTTACTTGGGTTTCAATGGCCTCCTCAATGGCCATTGAATGGTGAACATTATAAATCGCATTGGATTTTCAAAGATTACCAATGAATTTAAGTATTCCCAGCGGATTTTCAGACCTAAATTATCCTAGGTTTCCCAAAAAAGAGTGTGCTTTTTTGACCTGAGAAAAAGCCATGAAGTCCGAAACAACTAATATTATCACTGTGACGCAGGTTGTATGAATCAAAGTTGGGTAGTCCCAACATTTCTATCTTTGTTGGTTCAATCGTGGGTCACACGGGTTGTCGAGACAACTTTGGAATCCCATTCCATCCAATCCTTTCTCATCATTTGATTTATCAGAATGGCAATAAAATAGGCTATATCTGGGTAAATTACTGGGTAAATTATGACGACCTCACTACGACCGAGCCCTAATCATGGTTAGTAAAGGGAATCATTCCCAAATAGCCTTATTTCAGGTTAGTGAAATATTATATTTTACTCAGATATATACAATTGAGGCCCCCTCTTCACCATTGGTTTCCCTACGGTGGATGGGCCAGCGAAATCCGATTTTACCAGCAACAGGATGGTTTTTCAAGCCAAACAAAATTTATTGGGATATATAAACCACCCTTTTCAACTGGTGATTCGGATATCGCTGGCCCATCCACAGGATGTTTCGTTTCCCTATTCAAAATGACCAATCATCTGGCTGTTGTTGAGATTCCCCCCATTGAAAAATGTCCAAGGAAGGCGAGCCTGTGGCAATTGGCCCTAGTGATCTTTGGCCCCTCGGCAGACCTGACCTAGCCATTTGGTCATTTTTGTTGGCGCGAACTGGAACATAACTGGTTGGTGGTTTGGAACATGAATGGATTATTTTTCCATCATATTGGGAAGGTCATCATCCCAACTGACGTTCACTTTTTTCGGAGGAGTAGGTCAACCACCAACCAGATAATGATGGTATAATGATTCTGTAGTATTTATAGTGGAGATATATCAACCATCATATGGGATGGGGATTGAATGATTCAATGGAATATACCCTATGGTAAACTAACATGGCTATGATATGCTATGATGCTATGGACAATCACCCTTTTTCAAAGGTCAATCACAGTGCTAGGTTCATCTATAGATGGGCCCATTTGTCCATAGCTCCGATGCGAAATAACGGGAGGAAAAGTGGGGCCTTGGAGTTGCGCAATCAAAAGAGTCCCCCGGCGCATGCGGCGCATGTTTGTTGCTTTGTAAAACCCCAATCACTAGTTCGATCCTACCAGCCTGAGCAAAAAATTGGTTGTGGATGAAACATACTACCATCAATGGTAATTGTGTGGGGATATTCCCTTACATAGGCCTGAAACATAGGCCTGAAACATAGGCCTAAAAAAATGGTAGGTACCTCCAGTTCTTCTCGGTTCCTGAAGTTGCCATTGATACCATGTTTAGGGGAATGAGCATCCATTTCCCAGCTGTTTTGGTGTTCCCCAGGGTCTGGATCTAAATCCCATCGCCCCAATCTTAAATACCTTACAAACATAGCTATTGAACATGGCCCAGTCGAAATAGTGGATTTACCCATTAAAAATGGTGATTTTCCATGATTTTCCATAGTTTTTTTTGTATGTGTTCTAGAGGGTACCTCCTAGAAACTCGTGGTTTAGCAAATCCAGAGCTTTGCTCATTGGGTAAGTCACCAGTTTTGTTTTGTTGAAATCATTACATCACGTTCAAACCCTATTGATATGGTTGATGGTTTTATGTTATATCATGTTAGATCAAATTTCTTTCTTGCGACTCAGAATGTCATTCGCTGTTTAGCTATCTAAATCCCATTATTATTAAAATAACTGGTTGGTGGTTTGGAACATGGTTTTTCCATAATATATGGGATAATCATCCCAACTGACTTTCAATTATTTCCGAGGGGTAGGTCAACCACCAACCAGATATATAATATAGATTAATATAGAGAATTTTCCTGTTAAAACCACATTATTATTCACCATAAATCCTGTAAATTCACCATGAAATCGATGGGATTCCAGGATTCTTGGGGCGCCCTCCAGGACAAACTCCATGTTCGCTGCGTAACGTGGTGACCTATGGAGCTGCTTTGAGCGCCTTAAAGCGAGGCACAATGGCAAAGGATATCTGATTGGTGGTGACTGGAACATGAATGAATTATGATTTTCCCATCATATTGGGGTCATGTCATCATCCCAACTATTACTCACTCCATCATTTTTCAGAGGGGTAGGTTGAAACCACCAACTAGATATATGTCATATACATTTCATGAAAGTGGAAACATCGGATTCTTGGTTGTAGAAATCATGATTATGGTGTAGAAATCCTCATCACAATATATTTCATCTACAAAAAAATGGTGGGATTTTACCGCAAAAACATATCCACAAAAAAAAGTCCCTGTGGTGGGATTCTAGCCACCAATAATTATATCCCACAACAAATCCCCATGAATGTTGGTTGCTTCTGTATATATATATATATTCCAATTCATTCATTATATATCCACTATACTTCCCATTCATTCATTATATATACTGTTGTACAGTGTTGGTTATACTTCCCATGATGATGCCACCATTGTATCAATATCTTCGAGTCTTAGAGCCATGGCACGAGGCAGTTGCTGGCCGGAAGCCCTCGGTGTTTTACAGATGATGGAGGAAGATCAGGTGGCCTCCGCGGGACCAATTTGGTGAACCTACAAAAACCACAGGTGGTAATATCCACAGTTCATATTTGGACATAAGCTTCATATCTGGACTAGACCTTACAGGATGGTGCCCCCCAGTTATAAGTGGGTTTATAAACCCCATGAATACTATAGTTTATATCTGCCATAAACCATAGTGAAATTGGACTTATAAACCAACTTAGCTAACTATGGGGCACCACCTTGTATAACCACAGTCACATCTGGTTCAAAGTGGGGTAAGGAGGTCTAGTCCAGATTTAGGCTTTAGCCCCCCGGAGATGACCAATTTTAACCACCAGCACGCACGAATAATCAATGGCCATTTCAGGAACCGATTTATTGGAGGTATTTACCATACATAAGGCCTATGTTTCAGGCCTATGTAAGGGAATATCCCAACAAAACATGGTCTTATATGGTACAGTACCTCCATTTTAAGATCCTGAAATTCCCATTGAAGTAAGGGTGAATCTTAATCATTTATCATAGCACGATCGCCAAAACTGGAAGGTTCAATGCACTTGAAAATGGACAGCAGAACGCATTTCCTAAGAGGGGTTTGCTGTGGGACTATAGCAACCATTTATGGGATATACTACAATGTGGGGCCCCCCAGTTGTAAGTTGGTTTATAAACCCCATTAACCATAGTTATAAGATGTTATAAGTACCATAAACCATAGTTAGCCATAGTTATTGGAGTTATTTGCACCAACTGAACGCTATCTTGGGGGCCCCACATTGTATGGGTATATATTTGGGATATCTAACCGATGGTGGATTTTGGCTGTCCAAAAATGGAGTCTACCCCATGATGATCACACAGAAGGGATGTGCCAAAAGGCTTTCCCCGTCTGTGGATGGAAGAAGTCCTGCTGCACCAACAGGATGGTTGAAACCCCTATAAATAATGGGATTTTGCCCATCTATGGTGATTTCGCAAGCATCCACAGTATGAATGAGATAATAAGTGGATATAAATGAATAATGGGATACTAACTTATATACCATGGATATTGAATATGGGATACTTTATTCATACTGGGATACTAATAATTAAACATAGTGGATGTCAAGTATATCATTTCGATAGGTTTTTTTTTTTTGAAACCCATATTATTCATGGATATACTATCATGTTTTTTTGAATATTATGATTAATCTATTCATGGATATGTGGATATATGGATACCAATAATGGAAACCCATTATTCATGGATATACTATCATATTATACTACAAACCCATTAATATGAGTATCAATATTCAGGATTGCGATTTTTTTACTAACTTCGCATAGTTCCACCAGGTTCAGCCCAATGTCATCACCTTCAACGCCGCCATCTCCTGCTGCGCCGTCAGCGGCGCCAGTGTCAGCGCTTGGCCAAGTGCCTTGCGACTGCTGGAGGCGCGGTGAGGAGTGGTGGAGTGAGGAGCGGAATTCCTTTTTTTTGGAGCCATGTAGAACTAGATGTTGTGTATATATATATATGATATTATAAATATGTATAATTATGATTCTGTAATACGCATATATATATATATATGTAGTATATATATATTATAATCAGTTAGTACAATATATATATATATACATACATGCAAACATTGTGATGACAGTAATATTGATGATAATAATAACGCAACAACAAGGGTAAGTGGGAGATCTCGAAGCCAAAGTGAAGTATCATGCTGAAGACGCTGGGGATGGTTTACTTCTCAATCTGGCTGTACCTGAGAATTCAGATTCCTGACATTTCCTGACTATCTGAAAGTCTCTTATAACATCTTATAAATCACCATAAGATCATCAAATAACATCTTATGACATCTGTTATTTTCACAAATCAATTCTAAATCATCAATTTTTCCAACCCCCATCTCGTCGAAGCCGCGTCGCGCAAGCGTGACGATTCTGTCGTATAAATATCTCAGGAGATGCAAGAGAAACAGCTCCAGGTGGGCGGTTCATGGGGAGTCAAGCCTCGAAACATGACATAAGCTCTACAATGTGGGCCCCCCCAGTTGTAAGTTGGTTTATAAACCCCATTAACTATAGTTATAAGTACCATAAACCATAGTTATTGGAGTTATAAATAAACCAACTTAGCTATCTTGGGGGCCCCACATTGTATGAATGGTTATGAGTTATGGAAATCTACAGTGAAGATATGTCAACCATGTCAACAGCGTTCTTTTTTTCCGTATGTTTTCGGGGTAACATCCCATAGATCCCAGCTAATTCCCAGCTACCCGGCCTGGTAAACGTTTACAAAAAACTATGGAAAGATCCATCATTTTTAGTGGATAAATCAACTATAAATGGCCATTTTCAATAGCTATGTTAAATTGCCAGAGGGTATGAATTATGGAAAATTACAGGGAAGAGAACCCGGTATGTGTGTGAATTATGCATGATGATTTTAGATTATCATACTGTGTGTTGAATGGTTATGAACTATGGAAACACACGGTGATGAACAAGGACTTCGTATGGGATGATGATGGGATATGGTGATCAAACATTGAACATACATGAACATACCCTTGTTGAACGCTTCTAAAAATTTAAGATTTCACCATGAAATATGGGTTCGAAGCAACAGAAATCTGGGATTATGATGAGATGATATGAGTTACGCTCAAAATGGTTGAAGACCACTGTGGGATTGTAGAAGCACTCTTGTGAGAGATTCGCACGAAACATTGCAAAGCGGTAGGGCCCCCTCCAAAAGCCACAATGGCACAAAATACTGGAAAAGCGACATGGCCACCCGAAAAAACGATAACCATACTAGCAACTACTGAGATGTAAATTATGTTGACGGGAGCTCATATGATGCAACTGATAGACGATAGTTGATTGGTTAAGAAATAGAGTTTGTTTTTTCCAGAAAATCAGAATTTTTATCTCATGATATCCCAACCATCTCCCAACATGTTTCATACTTTTTCCATGTTCTCCACATCTTTTTCCAGTTGTTTCTCATGTTTTCCAAGTTTTCAACATTTTTTCCAGGTTTTTCCAATGGTTTTTCACCATTTCTCCACACCTTTCCCCTGTGAAACCCCCGCGACCTCCACCCATTCGTCGTCGAAAAGGCGGACGTGATCTCCTGCAGCAGTGCCATGCGCGCCTGTCGTGGGGCCTGGCAACGAGCCATGGAGGTGCCGGCAATGTCGGGATGTCAAGAAACAGTGAGGGATTTACCCTCTGGTTATGTCAAAATAGCTATTGAAAATGACCCAGTCGAAATGGTGGATTTTCCCAGCTATAAAATGGTGGATCTTTCCATAGTTATGTTAGTTTACCAGAGGGTATAAACCAATTGACTATAGTCATATCTACAACATAAATGGATGTAAATATCTGATAATATCTGGGCATTGTTAATGGAAATAAATATCTATAGTCATATCTATGGAAATGTCAGGATGTAAATATCTGGGCATTGTTAATGGATTATGGCATTGACTATAGTTATATCTAACATAACAATATTTTCTTTTTAAACTGGGGGATGGTTTATGGCATTACCATACGGTGGATGGAAGAAATCCTGCATCAGTTGGTATATCGTTTATTCCCTCATAATATCATGATTTACAATCTTTTATAGTTACCTCACGGTTGCCAACTGGTGCAGGATTTCTTCCATCCACAGTATGGCCATAGAATGGAGTGATGTTCAATACCTACTGGTTGGTTCAATACCTATAAAATGGTGATGACTGGGGGATGGTTTATGGGCCCACATTAATGGGAATATAAATTCACTTATGGTATATATATATAATGGGATTTATAAACCATTGTAAACCCCATGAATACTATAGTTATATCTACCATGAACCATAGTTAAATCAATATTTGGTTGGTGGTTTGGAACATGATTTTTTTATGACTTTCCATCATATTGGGAATGTCATCATCCCAACTGTTACTCACTCCATGATTTTTCAGAAGGGGTTGGTATACAACCAACCGGATGAGATATGGTACCAATCCCCCACTGTACCAATGGTATCATCAATGGTATCCCACTATATCCAGTGAGATTTCATGGTATAACAGTGCCATAGAAATATACCAGTGGGGGATTTTCCATGGTTATGTAATGTATCCCAATGGTATAATATATATATATATATGCCAATGATATCCCAATTATATCCCAGATGATATCCCAGTTATATCTCAATGATATCCCTAAAAACAGCCTACTATTCTTGTTGTTGATTTTAAAGCATTTTTAAGCAACAGAACATGTGGGGACTTTCAATGATTTTCCATGATCGATGGTTATGTATCTCAATTATATCCGTTTTATATAATAATGTGTATATATATATATATCCCATTGTATCTATATGCAATTGAGAACAAGGTCAAAGGAGATAACGAGGTAGGATTTATTTTCAATATTCCAGATTCTATCTCAATTATATTCCTAAAAACATCCTACTTTTTTTTTGTTTTTGCTGATTTCACGAAGCAAAATGGAGGTTTAACACAATTTAACCAACAAGAATAGGGATGTGATAAATGGGATATTATTGGGATATAATGGGATATAATGGGATATATAACCATAGAACATGGGATGTCGACCAGGAAACATGGTGGGCTAATGAATGGGCTAATGAATGGGAAAAAGTCGAATCTATCAATCTGGATGCATTTGATCATGACCTCATTGTTATCCGCCATTGGAATGATGGGATTGTATGGGGAATCATCCCCAGCCATGGCCTTATTTCAGAGTGCGTGGCGCGTTTGGGTCGGGCCACAATGACAAGACGTGAGGCCTTATTTCAGTGATTTTCAGGTTGGTGAATCATGATAATTCAGCGAGATATTAGATTTACCCTATGGTTATGACTAACATAGCCATGGATCATGGCCCTAATCGAAATAGATGGTTTACCGTTCTTAAACATGGTGATCTTCCATGGCGAACTGTCAAATAACCAGATGGTAATGGCATTTTATGGGACATATCATGGGATATTTATTTCGAAGCAACGAATAATGATATAATGGGAGTATAATGGAACATAATGGGGATAAAACCTCTGTAAGATGGGATATGGTGCCCCTACAACTATGGTTGATACATGGCATATATTACTGTATGGGGATATACTGACCTTCTAGGCGAATATACTGTAATAAATCATAATGGGGATATATCAATCATCGTCTGAATAGAATGGGGATTAATGGGATATACGAAATACTGTACCCTTGGGTAATCATGGAGCTCAAACCATTGCTTCCCTTTCTTTTAAGATGAACAAGTTTTGATTACTTTAGGGTCCCTTATTTTTAGGAAACTCCAAATTTGGCGGTTATATACCCTCCAGTAGTCAAATATTGCAATGGAAAATGACTTACCCTCTGGTAAACATACAAAAAACTATGGAACATCACCATTTTTCATGGGTAAATCAACTATTTCTATGGCCATTTTCCATAGCAAACTGTAAACGTTTATCAGTTACATCTGATTTTCCCACTCTGAGGTCCATTTAGGGCATTTTCCATTGCCATGCTTGACCGAAGGGTACCCCATCATATCGCGATTCCACGGCTGATTGGTTCTATATCCAATGTTTCATGATTACCCCCCGAAGTTCTTGGTTCGGGTACTAAGTCCTCGTCAGGTTTTGGAATTTTCATGGTTGATAGCCACCATTATACATAATTATATATATATATACTCACATTATATATCGTTTACATTATATAACATTAATGGCACCAGATCCTTTAATATATATATATACATACCAGCCCTTAATATACCAACCATTATATATATATAGTATAGATCATAAAAAAACAATCATGAATTAACACATATATATATATATATCCTACCGGCTATGTATAGTATATCCTTTCACATTATAAACATTATAGTATATATCTATAGTATAGTATAGATCATATCCTTTAACAACCATTTTTTATTGTTTCAGCTAGGTCTTGGAATTTATGCATGCGACGTCCATGCGCTTGGATGTGATCTCTTACAATTCAGTGACCTCGGAGAAAGATCGCGTGGCGTTGGATCCGTGAAACTGGTATACTACAATGTGGGGCCCCCAAGATAGCGTTCAGTTGGTGCAAATAACTCCAATAACTATGGTTTATGGTACTTATGACTATGGTTAATGGGGTTTATAAACCAACTATAACCAACTTACAACTGGGGGGCTCCACATTGTAAGTATATAAGTCATAGCTGGTGAAAATCGATGGTGAATTCCATGTGATTCTTCAAGTCATACGGAAGCGAAATCCGATAAATCACCAAATGGTTGAAACCCAAACAAAATAATGGGATGTTTACCAGTTACTGGTGATTCGGAGTTCGAAAAACAATCCGCCGAATGGTAAGTTCATAGGTTTTGAATGGCTTTGACCCGTCCTCTTAGTTGATTAAGGGGGCTTACAGAAACCATCATGAAATTGACCAGCTATATACTCTGATGTTCACCAGGTGTTGAGATATTTTGACCTATCCTCATGTAAACATCGTTTTTTCTTAAACACTTTGATTCGGGATTGGCTCGAGGTTCATGACGCCAAATATGGGCATGGCTCAAAAAAGCGGACGGGGAACTCCATGTTTGGTTGCAGTAACCCCAAAAAAGACGATGGATGATGTTTTGGTAATGTTTGGGCCATGATTTCCAGGTTTCCCAACGGTTCTATCTTGTTGGGCTTGTTATAAATCAATCTCCATTTTGCTTTACACTTGTAGCCCATTCGTAGTAGTCCCATGCTTTTGAAATAGTCCTCAAGAACTACACAGAAAGCATGAAACAGCAGAGCTTTTGGGCATTGGATAGTTTAAGACCTGTGACGGTTTGCCTTCAATGGTGGACATATACTATCATATACTAACCAACTAAACAAACCCAAAAAAAATATGCGGAATTCCAAGATTGGCCATCATATTGGCTGGCCATACAATCCACCAGGTGCAAAACTGGAGGAGCCAAGCTTTTACAGGTGACATTTTAGGATATAGGATCTGGTTCTGTCAGAGCTGTGAGATCAAACAAGATTTCGACCCATAGCCAAAAAAGAGATGCTGGTTGGTGGTTTGGAACATTTTATATTGTTCCATATATTGGGAATGGAATAATCCCAACTGACTTTCACTCCATCATTTTTCAGAGGGTAGGGCTCAACCACCAACCAGATATGTATATATATATATAAACTTCATTATCTATAGTTATACCATAGTTATATCTACCATAAACCATAGTTCATAAAATTGGATGATGGGACAATTTACGGGAAAGCCCTATATTTGATGGTAAAAACCATGGTTTCCTGTAGATTTTCCCTTAAACCAATCCAGTGAATAGTTCATCTCCAGGCAGAATTCATCTCCAGCATTGAGGCGATCACTTCGTGTACTTCGTGCGAGAAAAGCTGGCAGGCGGCCCTCCATTTGCTGCGCAGCATGGCGGATGTGAAGCTTCGACCGGTCACCAACAGCGGCGTGGCTTACCGCGGTGTCAACGCGACCAGGGAGGGATTTTGAGATCTTGAGATCAGTCCCTAAGTTAAGTTCCATATATATATATATATAAATCCATGTGTACATATATATATATATGTAATTAATATATATATATATATATATCAATATCCCACGGGTTCTATGCCAGATACGAAACACTCTCAGTTGGGGTTGCTCCCATTGTCTTGCAGATGTAGAGTTTTGTTTTTTTCGCAACTAGGGGATGCCAGGGGCATTCCAAACTTCAGACTTTGGTCCAAGGCCAAAAAAAAGATCGTTAAGCCGGCTTTGGCTTGGTGTCAACGCTGAAACATGCCACACGAAAATCACAACGAAGTGCAAAGTCGCACTTACAGGGATAAACAGCAATTTGTGAAGCTTCTTAAGTTGGCACTGGGGCCACTGGGGTTGATTGTCTCAGGTTGCGACAATGTAACAACTCAAATGTGACACATGTCCTTTGTGTTAAGATTGTTTTTTTGTATGTTGCTAATTTAATTGTTAATTTTGAGTTCGTAAACTTATTTCTTCATACATTCAATATATTCCGCATGTTGCTTTCTTTAAAGTTGTATTTTGATGTATTTTGTTTGTTGCTTTCCTTGTTTCTTTAAACATCGAAACATCACTGAGCCGTGCTCCAGGTTACAATGCTGCCATCAGTGCCTGTGGTGGCTTGGATGTAAACTCCCAGTCATGGTTAGTTATATAATGGGAGTTACCACACTATATTAGTATATTATATGTTGGTATTATATATATATATATGTATATATGGTTGGATATATATATATATATATAATGGGATGGTTTATTTTTGGGCTTACTGGGTTTACCACACTGATCATATATATATATATATAATAAACTTAATAGATACAAAAATGCATTGCATATGTGTCAATGTGAACATATCCCTTACTTGACTTGCTGGTTGAAAACAACATACTGCATACATTATTCAATTTTGCTTTGCATTGCGGTCTTATGTGTATATAATACATGTTAGATGGCTTGATACACCTATCATATTACATCAGTGTATGCAAGTGCACATGCATGTGTATCAGTACATGCAACCTAGTTGTCACCAAAAAGGATGAGCGGTGAGTTATCAATTTGGTTCATTGGTTCATTAATTGACGTCGTATCCTGTTACATTTCAAGATATGAAAAGTCATGAGATTTACTTCAGATATAAATTGGTTGGAATGCATCTATCCATGAGTGATATAATGTTATATCTGAAATATGGTGTATCAGCCATTCTGAATGATCATGTAAACCTTGGTTGGGGTAATTTAACGGGCTGGGTGTTTTGCCCAACCTTCATGTTTTCCTGTTACAGGGGTTGGTAAATGTCCTAATTGAACATCACCCAAATATTGGCGATATATTCTCCAACAGATACTTGAAAGCGATGTTCAAAATCCCCAAAATCACACATTTACCACGCCCTGTGTTACCCATACGTGTTTCCCATACACGTTTGTTATTTGTAAATTTAACATGGCAATGTTTATGGCAATTTACAGATCATATTTTTTTAACATAGCTGTAGAAAATATGAACATGGCATAATGTGGTTAAAACATGTTAAAACAATTCCATAAACGAACCATTTGTTAATGGTTTATACCACATAAAAATGATGATGACTGAGGGATGGTTTATGGCAAAACCCACATTAATGGGAAAATAAATTCCCTTATGTTATATAATGGGATTTACAAACCATTGTAAACCCTATTCACTATAGTTATATCTACCATAAACCATAGTTAAATCTAGGCCATAGTTAAATCAATATTTTCAATTGCCACACCATCTCCATCCATTTTCTATGGTGATCAGGAGGCCACTGGCAGCATGCGCTGCTATTGTTGCAGGCGTGTCGTGGCGATAGTAAAACGCGTTGGCGTTGAACTTGAATGGTGAAAAGGAGTACATAGCAAGGCTGATATACATACATACATACATACATCCATGCATACATACATACATACATACATACATGTATATATATATATATTGCTAAATTATAACGACCTCACTGCGACCTCACTGGAAATCATGGTTAATAAGGGATATCATCCCCAAATGGCCTTAATTCATGATATATGATATGATATATGATATGATATTATATATGATATATGATATGATATGATATGATATGATATATATATATTTACATAAATATGTATGTAGTATATGATTATATATATATATACATATATACATATCAAGGGATTTTTGAGATCAAACAAATCTCTTGACAAGACTTGATCTTTGTTGGACTCTGGTAATCAACTAGGCAATCAAAATTTCAATGAACCCACCTTTATGTTTCAAGGGCCCAAGGGAAAATCATCTGCAAATGAACGACAACTGTTAGATTACAAAGGGTAAACTATCCCTATAATATAGATTACAAAATTTACTATATGTATATACACTATATATATACACTATATATATACACTATATATATACTATACATGTCTATACATTATCTATATACTGTACAATGCAAATCAATTATATATAGGACAATGCAAGTTAATTATATATATACCTGCTTGAAACCACCAATCAGTATATAGATGTATCACCTACTATAAACCATAGTTATTTTTCTAGATATATCACCTATAAACCATAGTTTCGGAGGGGTAAATGTATATCAATGGAGTATTTAGCCCACCATTTTGTTCGAACCTCGTCTCCAGGAGCTTGGCCAACGCGCTGATGCAGTGAGCTATGCTGCATGCATCAGCAGCTGTGGAGGAGCCGGGCGGGTGGTGGGTGAAATGGGTTTGCCCGGTTTAACTAACATAGCTATGGATACAACTGCAAAGCTAACATATATGTTGTGGTAAATTACATCAATGTTTGTTCTGGAAGCCACTTAGAATGTACCAATAGCTATGGGAAATGGATAATTTATAGATGATTTACATATTAAATACTATATATTTTCCATAGCAAACTGTTACTTTACCAGAGGGTAACCATGGTTTAACATTGTTAAAACTGGTTGGATATGGTTTGACTAATCAAAATGGCGCACAGAACTTTTTTTATCAGCCAAATTGTGGCAACAAACATGGGAATTCATTCAGTCCAAATGGATCAAAATGAACGGGGTTAACCACCGAAGCAAAATGGAATTTGAACCATCATTTCATGGCAAGTGTAGGCTCAGCATAACATGGGACAATGTCAGCGTGTGCCCATGTTCAGATTCCCAAACTAGGAATTTAAGCATACAAACTAAGGAATTCGTCAATGAATTGTGGGAGGATTTGATTAGACTGAATTAGATTAGATTAGATTACTGTAGATAGATAGATATACAGATAGATAGATAGATAGATTGATTGATTGATTGATTGGTTGATAGGATAGATAGGATAGATAGGATAGATAGGATAGATAGGATAGATAGGATAGATAGATAGATAGATAGATAGACAGAGAGAGAGATAGAGAGATAGATAGATAGATAGATAGATAGATAGATTTGATTGATTGATTGATTGATTGATTGATTGATTTATTGATTGAATGATTAATTGATTGATAGATAGATAGATAGATAGGTAGATTGATAGATAGATAGATAGATAAATAGATAGATAGGTAGATAGATAGATAGAACAAGAGAAAGAGACAGCCAGCATGTCAGCCAGACATAAAGGCATGACATGCTGCTTCCACTGTGGAATTAACATGTTGCCTCCCCACCCAAAGCAGATCATCGATCATAGAATCTTAGCATATTCTGAACAATTTTATCTTTACATATGCACTTTAGCTTGTAATAAACCTTTTCCCCCTACATACTTTTTGAACAGGATTCCCCCCATGGGTATCCGGACAATTCCAAGCCACCAGCTCAAACCAGTGAATCATTGGTTGACAGTTGATACCAGTTACCCACTACAATCCGTACGAGTTTACTATAGTTGTCACCTTTGAAATACCCATTAGCTACTTAACCAATAAACATATTGATCATTTACTCTCTGACACACCAAACAAAAATCACTAAAATCCCATTAAAACCACATTTTTTTTAAAAAAAACATAGTTTTAACTCCAATAAAGTTCTCCATTCAGCCATGTTTTAGCTTATTTTTCCAAGCAACTTCCCCTGTCCATTAGGAGCTCACTGGGACTTGGCCCTTCACCTTCTGGCCAGCCTCTCCAGCGCTGATGCCGTGGCGCTGGCAGCGGCACAAAACGCGCTGCTGAAAGCGGGGAAGTGGCGCCATGCCTTGTGGCTGCTGGACACTTGGCGCCGGCCTTTTCCTTGATACTGTGGATGAAAGAAATCCTGCACCACCTTGGATGGTTAAAACCCTACAAATAATGGGATAAACCATCTATCAACTGATGCAGGATTTCTTCCATCCACAGTATCATGGCCTTTTTCATGCTGGGAAAAACTTGGCTATTCCTTTTTTTATTGGGAATATGATGGAAGATGTGAAATTTCAACTCATATTAGGTGTTTGTTATTTCTGTAGATCCAAAAATATGGACCTGATTTTTGTTTTACTTACTATCAGGGATTATGTTATTGGTTGGTCAATGGTATAAACTAGATTCATATGTTTTGTCAATAAATCAGGGACATTGATATGCCAGTGTTTTTCCCCTGGATATCCAAGATTGGCCATGCATGTGGGTCAACTTGGGTTTGCTGAAGATTGTGTGTGTGTTTCTCCCATTATTTGAGAATACTGGAATTTAAGTGTGCTCCTTTTTTTTGGGAGACGTTTAAGCTCTGCAATCGCAGGAGTAGTTGGGGATCTTTTTCACCAACAGACCACTTGGGGTAACTTTGGGGTAATCCATTTGGGTTTGGTGGTCTTTCCCCTTGGGATTCTGGCTGTTCGCAATAGAGACACATCTAGTTTGCAATATTTCTATAAATGGCAAATAATGGGATCTATTAACCATTGTAAACCCCATTAAGTATAGTTATATCTATACCATAAACCATAGTTAAATCAATATCTGGCTGGTGGTTTGGAACATTTGGATTATTTGTCCATTCAGTTGGGAATGTCATCAACCCAACTGACGAACTCCATCATTTTTCAGAGGGGTAGGTTGAAACCACCAACCAGGAGACACATCTATTTTGCATTTTTTTGTCGTCAACGTTTTGTTCGCAATATTTGCAATATTTTGTAATGTTGTTTTGATCTTAGAGACACATCGACAGACCGCGGAAAGGGATTGTTCCCAATGTTGATGCAACAACATGGATCAAATGGTGCGATAGGAAAACAGTCTGAAAATGGAAATATAACCGGGACATACAGTCCATTGCCATAATTCATTTCCAGTAACAGGACGAGTTTGGAAGTCAGGAAATGGTTCGCCACCAGAATATCCCCCCTCGTAACAGGTATGTTTTTGTTTTGTTTTTAACCCACTTGCGAACCATTCAACAAACTAAGCTCCTGTTTCATAGGTTCCTTATGGTTCCTTCTCTCATAGAATTGGATGATGGGAAAATTTACAGGAAAACCCTATATTTGATGGTAAAAACCATGGTTTCCTGTAGATTTTCCCTTAAACCAATCCAATGATTCTCCCCTGACCTCCTCAATCCCCCTTTGCTAACGGCGCTAATCGAGGACGAGATGCCACAGTGGTCCTTGAGCCCTCAGTCGGAGAATCTGCACATGGCCATCAGTGCGTGTGACGTGGATGTCTTTGGATGTTTTGTTTTGGTGTTTCCGGGGGGATCGATGTGAAAAACATCTGAAAACTATGGTTGATGTATATTAAACAACATCCAAATCGAATGAAAACGATATATTTGACTATAGTTTATATAAAATACAGTTATACACTTATAGTTATATGAAAACTATGGTTGATGTATATTTGTGTTATTTTTTTTGTTAACCCGACAAAATGACAAAAAAAACGATATAGTTTCACCGGGGATCCTCGGATAGTTGAGGTCCTGATGTGGAAAACTTATAATATGTTAACTATTGTTTGTGGTAATCTATAACCCATAGGATCCATGGTGCTGGTATATATACTAACATAAAGGGGGTATATTGATGGGATCCATGTTACCATATATAGCATACATGGATCCGTCATGGGTAACTGGTTGGTGGTTTGGAACATGACTTTTATGACTTTCCCATCATATTGGGAACGTCATAATCCCAACTGACTACTGTTTTTTATTTTTCAGAGGGGTAGGTATACCACCAACCAGATAACTATGGCTATGGTTACTTGGGTGAAACTCAACCAACAAAAACACACTTGGAAAAGCACCACCTTGTATCTCTACACGACGAGACTGGTTTTTTTGTGCGGGAGACTGTGGATGGTTTATTTTTTGCTTTGGGGTGTGGGATTGTCGTATGAGTTGGTAAATTTTTATTAAATTTTGATCTATCGGATGAGAGAACTCTACATCTACACAACTAACATGTATTGATATGTATTGGTTTGTTTGGGATAACATGGATTGTCATAGATTTACTATTTATCCAGACTGTAAACCATTCGGCTGGGGAGCAACAAACTGGGTTGATATGTCCATGAAGGGAAGATTTGATATGCTGCTAGCCATGTTCAGGCTTGAAGCCCTACTGTTTTTTTAGATTATTATATACATTCCTTTTTCCCCACCTGCCAGGTGAGGGTTGTTAGATTTTATGTCAGTTGCCTGGTCCTCCTCCTCCTCCTCCTCTCCTCTCCTCCTCCTCTCGTTGTCCTCCTCCTCTCGTTGTCCTCCTCGTCCTCCTGCTCAACTGCGACTCGCGATCCACAGTGTTCTCTGTCGGACCTCAACCACGAGCATCCACGCCCAGTGTTCCCTGCCGGACCTCAACCACGACCATCCACGCCCAGTGTTCCCTGCCGGACCTCAACCACGAGCATCCACGCCCAGTGTTCCCTGCCGGACTTCAACCACGACCATCCACGCCCAGTGTTCCCTGCCGGACCTCAACCGCGAGTATCCACGCCAAGTGTTCCCTGCCGGACCTCATGTAGGAAGATATGGGACAAAGAATGTGCAGAAGAAAGTTAGAAAGAATGTCAGAAAGAATGTCAGAAGATATGCCAGAAGATATGCCAGATAGAATGCCAAATAGAATGCCAGATAGAATGCCAGAAGATATGTCAGAATATATGCCAGAAGATATGCCAGATAGAATGCCAGAAAATATGCCAGAAGATATGCCAGATAGAATGCCAGATAGCATGCCAGAAGATTTGCCAGATAGAATGCGAGAAAATATGCCAGAAGATATTCCAGATAGATATGCCAGAAGATATGCCAGAAGATATGTCAGAATATATGCCAGAAGATATGTCAGATAGAATGCCAGAAGATATGTCAGAATATATGCCAGAAGATATGCCAGATAGAATGCCAGATTGAATGCCAGAAGATATGTCAGATAGAGTGCCAGAAGATATGCCAGATAGAATGCCAGAAGATTTGCCAGAAGATATGCCAGATCATATGCCAGAAGATATGCCAGATAGAATGCCAAATAGAATGTCAGAAGATATGTCAGATAGAATGCCAGAAGATTTGCCAGTAAGAAAATGTATAAATGTCATGGTGGAGATCACACGAAGTAAAGTAATTTATGGATTGCCAGATGCCCTTCTTTGTTCAAATTCCAAATTGTCTTCGCCCGGATCCCCTTTTCAGTTACACTGGCCCTCCGGTCATCAACCATGCATTGATTCTCCATACAGACGTTGTTTTCAACTGGCAAATGATCTGCAATGGGGAGGAGGTCCCCCTGCCGATTGCCAGAGGGTACACCTACAGGTATACCTACAATATGATGCCACCCAGTTGTTTTCAGGTCGTTTATAACATTTTAGAACCCCATCATACCCCATCTAACTTTCAATCATATCCAAACAAATCCAAGTTAGCTATAAACCAACTTTGTATAAACACCATCTAACTTTCAATCATACCCCCACAATTATCAAAAATAGCGCAGTTGTCAAACCAACTTTGCGATTCCAAACTGGGATGTCTGAAATCGATGTATAGGGATGGAGCAAACTTGGCAGATGTGCATAGTCAAACCAAAAAACAAATATATATATATATATACATCTCATTCACATAATATTGTGTTTATGTCTATTATATATCATTGTATTACATCATAGTTCACAACATGAATATTCTGATAATTGATTAATATTCATATTTGGATCATGATTCTTCTAATTCTAATGGTATTACATATACAACATATGATATACCCTCTGGTAAACTAACATAACTATGGAACATCACCATTTTTTAATGGGTAAATCCACTATAAATCAACATGTTCAAGTTCGCAAAGTGTTAGTTCATTGACCAGAGGGTAAAATCCATGCGAAAATCCACATCTCGTCATTATTCCAATGATTTATCGATCCAAAAATATCTCCAGCTCATCCCATCGCCCCTAGGTGACCGCGGAAATCTGTGGCCTGTCGCTTTGGTCCTGCTGAAAGCCTCACCGAGCCTGGAGGGTTTCAATGCGGCGATCAACGCGCAACGGGGTTCGCCGACCTGGCGCCAGGCGAGTTGTGGTCGATTTCGACCTGGCGACGGGTTTTTCCAGGATTTGGGGAATGCGAAACCATTTTATGGTGATTTCTCTAGATTTTCTAGTGATTTTTATGGTGATTGAAACCCTTGTGAAATCTACAGAAATTGGAGGTTTTTCCGAAGGTTGATATAGGTTGATGGTGAATTCCCTGGGATTTATCGAATGGCCCTTTTTGAAAAAGGAAGCTATGAACCGGATTTCGAAGCATATAAAAAAGCGACATGTTCGAAGGGGCAGCAAAGATTAGCCATGTTTTGTGCAGGTTACATTCATTCTTGGATGTGCGTCGCAGTTGGAAAGGGGTGCATGACCATCTCACGCGTCCATTGCCCCAGTGGTGAAACAAGAGCGAGCACACCCACAGACACACTGATGTACATCCACCAGCCGGTTACAACCCTGACATCAGCGAAGATATGTCCTTTGGTCAGGCTATCCAGCTATTAGAACTAGCTCCAAGCTTGACAGTGCAGCCGGATCTGATCAGCTACAGCGCGGCCATGAACGATGCTTGGTGAAACATGAGAACCCCACGCTGGGCAACCCGTGGGGCAAACAGAGCTCTTTTGATATAGATCACAAAGGGCTGTGGTTGGGGCCAAGTAGAGCTAGGTTTGCTGGGTTTACTAGGTTTTGGGTCATGTGGGAATGGATCAAAACCATTCAAAACCATTCAAAACCTACATAATACCATATTTTTCCATATTTTTGTTGGTCATTTTTGGACCTTGAAATGGTGATGAACATTTTTTCTGGATCCCCGCGATTTCTTCGTGCTTCACGGGGAATTCCAGGGGTGTGGCCAAGGCTTGCACGAGCTCCTGGCCTTGTGCCTTGCAACTGCTGCATGACCTGCGTCTCCGTCAGATTGCGAGCAACGCGTTGACGATGTCCTCATGCCTGCGGGCCTGCGTTGGGGACCCTGCAGACCTGGTGAAGCGGCAAATC